TAATATTCTTTTGATCTGACTCAGAAGAATTTATAACTTTTGCAAAATTTGCCAACGAGCAGGTCCCACAAATGTAAATTGCAATGAGATTAAAACCAAAGTCATAACTCGGAAAATGGTTAATAATGTGGAGGGTCAGAAGTCAACAAAAAAAAAATTTTTTTTAGTCTTTTTTTCTTACTCTTTAGTCATAACATTTTTATAGCTTTTTTTTTTCTTTTTTTTAAAGAGGGTGTAATCACTGTGTAGTCCAGGTGGGCCTTAAAATCACTATGTCACTGTGTGGCAATCCTCCTGCCTCAGCCTCCCAAATGTTGGGATTACAGATGCAGAACCATGCCTGGCTTACAGCTTTTTTTTAAAGCTGAAAAAAATCTAAAACCAAGGCATAAAAACACCATAAATGTGACTGACATTTACTATGATTTAAAACGGCATCCAGAATTAAGTAAAAAAGAAAAGAAACATACACTTAAAAAAAGCAGAGGGGTACAAAGAAAACTACTGCCCTAAAACTGCTCAGTAACTCAAAGAATGAGAATATGTTTCTGGCTAGAAGTAACTAGACTAACTCACAAGAGACTATATGACAAGCTACACGTTTTGGCTGATCGTCCTTATTAAATGTTCATATCCCTCAGGATTGTCTTTTATATTCTATTTTTATTTGATCTCCAAATTCTTACACCATTTAGTGACTTAATAATAAAGTATTGGGCCAGGGAGATAGCTCAGTAGAATAAGTGCTTGCCTCGCAAGTGCAGGGTCCTGAATTCAATCCCCGGTACTGCAAAAAAAAAATAAAATAAAATAATAATAATAATAATAATAATAAAGCATTATCTAATGCACTAACTTCCAAAATTCTGACACACATTCCTTTCCTTCCCACTCCTACTGCTGTGCTCTCAGTTTAATTCATTATTCATCATGAATCATTATTTCCCATGAACAATCAAGTAGTACATTCATTGAGTATCACCTACTGTGCCACATAAACCCCCACCATTCATGCCAAATATCTCCCTATGTCCATCTTAACCCTTCTCCCCATTCTTATTATTTTATGAGGGTCCTCAGTTTAACTGTCACAGCTCCTTTAGTGTCTTCTTTTTTTTTTTTTTTTTTTTGCAGAACCAGGGATTGAAATCAGGCCCTTGCGCTTGCCAGGGAAGCACTTATTCCTCTAAGCCATCTCCCGGGACCCCCTTCTCTCCATTCTTAACAATGCAGCTTGAGTGGCTTCTCTCAAACCTAAATTCAATTTGTTCATGCCTTTTACTGGCCTGATTCTTTCAAGGGTTCACCATCATCTATGCACTGTAACCCCACCACCTTCTTCATTTACATTCACTACCATATGACACAATATATTGTCTGTTCACTGATTCCACTCCAGTTAGTAGGTAAGTTCCATAAAGGCACAGTTTTTGTTCACTGCAGTATGTTACTTGTATGAATGCAGGAATGAATAAATGGATTGACGACCCTCAGGGCAAAGACCTGTACAACCTGCCACTGGCCTCTTCACTTTATTCCCTCCTCTACCAACAATGAATTGTCTAGTGACCTAAATACAACATGTACCTTCACACTCTCTTATTTGGCCACATGCTATTCTCTGTGTCTGAAATATAAACTTTCCTTACCATCCAATCACCTACCAAACTATTACCAATAATTTTTTAATTTTACATGGGTCCAGGGAGATAGCTCAGTAGAATAAGTGCTTGCCTGGCAAGCGCAAGGGCCTGAGTTTAATCCCCGGTCCCCCTCCCAAAAAAGTAATAATAATAATTTTACAGCACTGGGGCTCAGAGACAGGGCTTTGCATGTGCTAGTTAAGCATTTCACCATGGAACTAAATCCCCACCTCTATCACCAATATTTCATAACTTCACCTGAAAGCTTCTCCTGATTCCATATTCAGTACAGTATATCACTTTTCTTTGTACTTCATTTGCACCTCTATCTACAATGGTTCTAATTTAACTACTGTAACATGTTATCTCTTTTCCTAGACTGTGAATTCTTTGAGGTCAACAATTACTCATCTCTCTATCTCTGGTGCTTAGTGCATTATCTGCTATACAGCAACCAGTCTGCAAATGTTCATTAATGTATGAATGACTATTTTTTATAAGAGAAATGAAAGCACTGAGTTTCAAAAAGTCACTATATCAAGTCCATGATGAATCTAAGAATAATCAATAAAACAATTACAACCAAAATCATTATTGATGAAAGAGGAGTAAAACATACATCACCAAAAATTATTTCAAAGACATACTGTTGTAATCACACCTTATTGGCCTGTCTTGCTTTTCACTTGTCTTCCAGCCTAGTTCTGTTGCAGGCGATCAGAGGCCCAGCTAAGCAATAAGAAGTAAATACAGCCTCTTGGGAGGCTGTAAACAGATGGATCACTACAAGTCCCATCTAGTAGTGAGACCCTGAATACCCTGTAGGACCTTCCCTAAAAATTTAAAAAAAAAAAAAAAAAAAAGTAAAATATAGACCTAGATTTCCCATGAATAATCAATCAAGTAAATCACTCAGGATATTTTTGATGTTCCATCCAATACAAGTTAGTACTGTAATTTATGGTTAGTCAAAACAGTACTGTGATTAAACTTCAAAGTATTTGTGCAGAACTAGATTTTATCCCTATCCATCTAACCTTGAACCAAAAAGCAGAGCTTCCCACCAGCTGTCATCTATTGTCATTAATGGGCTATAATTGTGCCCAGGCTCATGACAGCTACAGTCTTTGGACTAGCCATACAGGGAATCCTGGAGCAACCAAACACCTTCAGCTATGAGAAATCTCATCTATTTCCTCAATACAAACATTACTAATTTTTCTCCCACAAACCAAAGCCACTAAATCCAAGCAAAAGGAAAATGTGCCCTCCTTATTTAGTTCTAACAGCATGAATCGGCATATAAGTGTACAAGTATATACAGATGTATATAAATGATTAGACATAAATGAACATCCATATATAAGTGTACAAACACACAGATGTATATAAATGAGTAGACATAAATTAACATGAAGCAAAAAAACATAAGTCAAAAGTCATAAATGCATTACCAGCTAATATAACATCAGTGTAGCTATAGGGTGGTATATGATCTGAAATTTTTCCCTTTTTTACCATTAAGTGACCAAATTCTAGAAAATGTCTCTCCCAATTTTGTTTTCCACCTAGGCTAAGTATTCCCAATAGTATACCTTAGTTCAAGATCCCAGCAATCTTCATTGAGATAACAGACTCTAATTGGTCTGTCTTGTCTCTGGACATACACAGTGAAAATTGATGCTACTATGTGTTGAGGGGTTATGTAACAGGCACTGTACTAAGCATTTGATCTTCTAACTTTGCATATTTCCATTCTCACAGCAACACTGCAAATCAGAAATTATGACACTCATTTTTTCAAACAAGGGGACTGATGCTCTGAGATAAGCTGACTTGTTGACTTATCCAAAGTCAAAAGGAGTAATTGCTCAGTGGAGTTCAAATTCAGGTCTAGATTCCTGGCCTACACTGTTCAATCTTTAATCTGGTCCCACTGTGACTTTCTAAAAGTCTAATTATGTTTTGCCCCTGCATAAAAATCTTGTAAACAAGCTTCACCTCTCAGGTCCTTATCCCTTGTCTGTTATTATACTCCTGTCCCCACACTCATAGCAATTCCCTTACTGTCTCTCACTTTTTTACCTATGAACATACTGTGTCTGTTCATCCAGATATTTTTCCTCTTTGGTAGACTACTTCCATTACAAATGTCAATATTTACTTAGACATAGACCCTGTACTAGCTACATAAAAAAAGAAATAAATAAAAATTTGCCAAAAGAGAGAAAAAAAGATCTATTTAGACAATTTTTATTCAAGAACATCTTTTCCCTAACACATACCCAAAACTGGGTAAATTTGTGTGCTACAATTACTAGTTAAGTTTCTTATCACATTGTACTCTAATTTTACTTAGTAGCCTATTACTGCCTTAAAAGTAAATACTGCATTTCAAAATCTCAGTACTACTAGTACTGTTGTATGTGGAATAGGACTCATTAAATTAATGACTCATCACTGGACACTGAGGTAAACTTTATGTGTTTTTTAACTCTAACCTGCCACACAATACACACAGGCCTACTCAGACTGGTTCACTTTTACATTTCATCATCTGTAAAATGGGAGATACCTCCTAACTCAGGAAAGAGTATAATAAATAATATGTTTAGCACAATCCCTAGCATTTTGGAAATACAGATTAACATAAGTAAACTTTTTTTCTATCCCAAAAACCCACGCTGACAACGCTACACCTCAGAAAACAGCTTCTTCCCAGTAGCTTTTATCACAGAAGTTTCAACAAAAAAAAAAAAAAAAAAAAATCGGAAATTGAGATCTCTTGCAGACATTTCTCATTCATAGAAACCTATCTTCTAGTTTAGGAGAGATGCCATCACGCTCGAAACCACTATCCAGCGTTTGTTTGCAGTTACTGCTTCTTACTCACCAGTTTCCTCCCTCAAAGTACGGAACGAGGGCCCCAGGGAAGCGGAAGCCTAGTCCACAGACAGTCCGCGCTTTCCCGCGAGCGTCCCTGGCCCCCGTCCACCCCGCGCCCACCCGCCCGCGGCGCCCAAAGCGTCCCAAACCGCAAGAATCTTGTGACCACCTAGTACAAACCTAAATCCCCCGGGAAAAGCATAATTACAGCGCCCGCCTCCCATTCAAAGACCGTAGCCCCCAAATGCTCACTCGTGACAGAAAATTAATTCCCGGCATCAGCTTGGTTACCTGCAAACAGTGACCAAAATCCATCGCCCGTCCTGCTCCCTTCCGGCCTGAGTCTCGTCCACTCCTCCTCCAAAGAGACGACTTTCGGGGCCCGAGGTTCTCGCCACCCCCTCGCGCCCTCCGCAGCGCAGGCCCGGCCCGGCCCCCGGCCCCCGGCGCCTTCCGCGGACCGCTACTCACCGCTTCTTGGGGATGCTACCAGACTCCGGCGCGGCGGGGCCGGTCGTGGGCGCCGCGGCGGTTGCCGGCGAGGCTCTCCGCGCCTTGCACTCCTTAGCGCTCGGAGCCTCCCTGGGCCGGCCCAGCAGATGGCCCGAGAGGACGCGCAGCCGCCGGCCGGCGC